TTGCTGCACTTTTTGTGCAGGATCTGAGACAGGTACTAGTGGAGGACCTATCATCACATACCCACGTCATCCCGAGGCATAGTNTGCTGCACTTTTTGTGCAGGACGTGAGACATGTACTAGTGGAGGACCTATCATGACATACCCACATCATCCCGAGGCATAGTAGTGAGCTGCCTTTCTGAGCCGTTCTGCAGCTACCAGTGTCTCTTCTTATATTTATATTCTGTCTATTTTATTTCAAACAGTATTTGGAGTTTTGTATAATCTACTAGATGCTCATGCACTTGTGACACCGGGTCTTGGCACACACATTGGTAGAAGTTGGTATTTTATTATTTTCTTGGAATAAAAGTTTAACCAATGTACGATTTACTTATTAGTTGGCTTGCCTAGCCGTAGTGTTGGGCGCCATCACGACCTATAGGTGAAATTGGGTCGTGACAATTTGATTCTCTTGCTAAATAATTAATCGAAAGATTTAATTATTTGGTCTTAACACAAAAAATAATTTAATTTATGTTGATTCAGATTCTTAATATTTTTTCATCTCTTGTTTTGAAGATTTAATCTTAATTATAATTTTATCCACCATAAATTTTCTTTTCAAAGAGTAAAAAGATCGATCTGATATTCCACTTTTAGATCTTTATGTTTGTAGAATCATTAGTGGTATTGACTCTTACCGATCATTTTTCTTTTTATTTCTCACACATTTATATTTTTAAATATTTTCTTAGTTGTTGTTTAATAATTGGATATATTTTTTAATATTACACGAAAAATTGATTAAAAATATATTATTTTAGTAGAAAAACATATCAAATATAATATAAAAATATATTATGTGAATATTTTTTCTCAATTTCCATGCTTTATGCAGTCCATTTAATATTACTTTTATTTTCTCTTATAATTGGATATTATGGAGTAGTAATGTAGTGTAAATATGGAGGATTCTTATGAAATTAATTTTATTAAACCTACCTACATATTTTTAATAAGAATTTAATAGACAAAATTTATCAATTATAAAATATTAAATATTAAAAAATTAACATAGAAGGTCTTGTAGTCCAAAAAATATGTTATTTTAGTTATGTTCTTTCCCTATGAGTTATTCTGTTTAATATTTTAGGACTATTTTGGTCTATCAATATTGTATTTGTACTTTTATAATAATATAGTCTCTCCTTTTTCTAAATGAATTTGGACAATATAATACATTCTCAAATTAAATTAGTAATAGCACATTATAATATGTTTTCAAATTAAATTAGTAATAAAAAATTTTAAGAAGTATATTCTAAAAGTAATAGGATTACATGACTAAACATATGTCTCTATCCTGAAAGTAATTATACTAATAGGAAACATAACGTGTTCCTAAAGATATTAGGTTTACATGCTAACATGTAATATTATATGTCTATGCTCTAAATTAATTATACTAATAAGATTCCTAAAGGTAATCATATAGGATTCCTAACTTGTAGTATTATGTCCTAAAACTAATAGGATTACAAATGTCTAGATTCCGGTTATGTCCTTTTATTGTGAGTTATTATGCTTAATATTATAAGATTATTTTCGTAAACCGATATTATATTAATACTTTTATAATAATATAGATTATATTTATTTAAAATATATGTAATATAATTCTTTATATAATATTGGAAAATTAATAGTCTACACGGATCAGGTGAGAGAGAACAGTGAGATTATTTTGAATTTTAAGGGAATATTTTCAAGGTTTACTTACTTAGGTTTTTTCACTGTAAGCTAATGACACTATAAGGCAAGACAAAATCATGGCGATAGTAGAAATAAGGCTCTCACCTTCCTACTAATTAAATTACTTGGAGTAGCACAATTGAATAGAAATTTTTTTCTATTTAATGGTGGGGTTGGAGAAAGGTGGCAAAAATGGGGTTCAGAAGAACAAGCTTAGAACAATGTCATATTTAGGCTATTTTATTAAACTCAGATCATTAATATATAGGTGAAAATATTACATAGGTATTTGTTTTTATGGCTTTGAGGATTAATTTATCCTGCATTAGTATTTTCATAAAACTTTTTCTCTGGTTTGAACACTCTTGTCGGTAATGGCGGATCCAAGATTTGAAATTTATGAGTTCCTGCAACAATCTCAAGTTAATCACTGATTCACATACAAATATTTATAAATATTTAATGAATTTTTTTTATGCATATACAAGATCTGGGCAAAAGCTATTGGGTTCCTAGGAATCCGCATCATTGCCTCTAGATCCGCCACTGATAATATGTTCTGTTTATTACAACTATAGTGGAGAGCAGGGGCGGCTCAATGATATTTGTGGCCTAAAGCCAAACTTCAATAAGTGGCCCTAAGATTTTTGTTGTAGAAGAAAACTCATAATTTTATCTGAAATTTATTTTTCTAGCTTTTCGAGATGCGAAATTATTAATAATTTGTTTATAATCAATTTCTTCTAATAATTCTTTTTCAATTGATAATATAGCTAATCCGTTTAATCTATCTTGAGACATTGTTGATCTTAAGTAAGATTTTATTAATTTTAATTTTGAAAAATTTCTTTCCACTGAGGCAACTGTTACAGGAATTGTTAACATTATTCTATGAGCAATATAAGCATTTGGAAAAGAATCAAGTCTTTTTATATGATTAAATATATCAATTAGAGTATCATCTTCTATATGTCTTATTTTTCTTAAAACTTTTAATTCATAAAATAAGTCTAAACCATCAATATCAGAGTTACTATTATGTTTCAAAGAGCATTCAAGGTTAAGATAAATTTTTTTAAGTTCTCATCATCTAGAGATCTCAACTTTTTGTCACTAAATAGGAAACCAAAAATATTTTCATACGCTTCAAATTGTTCAAATCTACTTTGAAGTGGAAAAATATCTTGGTCTACTATGTATAAGAAGTAATAAATTCTAAAAGATTCTTCAAGAGATTTTGTAATTTCATTATCAGCATTCTTATCAAATTGTTTCTTTCTATATATTACACGTTTATTACGAAATTCAGGTTCTATATTCAACTCATATGCAATTTTCTTAGCAAAAATCATGGCAGTTGCAAATCCTTCTTCTCTATATTTTTTGAAAAAAGAAATCAAACCCTTAAGTTGATCTATGGCAACATCAATATGCATATCTTTTGATTGTAAATGTTTGCTAACTGAATTAACTGCAAATAGTATATCATACCAAATAGTCATACCCACTAAAAACTCAAAATTTTCAAACTCATAAGTTGCTAAACAACTAGATTCGCTTTTAGTTTTTGGATCCTCACTAACTTCTACTAATTTCAATAAAGAATTTCTTATTTATGGAGTTTGAAATCGTATTGCTTTAATACTTTCAATACGACTTTCCCAACGCGTTTGTGATAATGATTTAAGAGTTAGGCCGGGTACATTATCTTATAAAATTTTCCATCGCTTAGTAGAAGAAGAAAATAGTGAATATATACGTTGTACTTATTGAAGTTTGGCTTTAGGCCACAAATATCATTGAGCCGCCCCTGCTTGTATTTTGCTCTTTTATTTTGAGGTAGTAACTGAATGAGATTGAAAATTTGGAATGTAGAGAAGGCTTTGCAGAGAAAGATTAAAAAAAAAAATGTGGGCCCATTTATAATAATAATGGTACATAAATGAGACAACATAGTAGAATTTTCACGCGTAAGGCATGAATTCCCAAAATATATTCCTTTTCCAATTGTTCTCCAACGTCCCCTTTCCTTGAAACTTGTATTTTTTTTCTTTTCAAATACTTAATATTATTAAAATAAATGGACAAATACATTAAATATCAGAAAATTTTGGGGCCCCTACAAATAAGGGGCCCTAAGCAACAACTTTAATTGCTTGGTCATCAGGCCGGCCCTGGTGGAGAGTCCTTTCAAAACATACTAGATGTTAAAAACATCACATTTCAATCAAACCGTGGTCTAAAAGAGTGAAAACTAATGTAATAAGTTATAATTATGGCTTGTTATTCCAAGACCTATTGTGTAACATCAGTTCTTTTGATTACTGGCAGGGAAAAAAATTAAAACCCCTTACTTTAGCATTAAAGTAGGGGATGGAAGTTAAATCAACAGTTATGAACTTAAATTGTTCCAGTGCTTAGACATGCATTCTGTACGGAATTATTTTTTTCAGGTGCTCCTAGTGAAAAATAATTTCCTAGATAATTGATAATAAAAGGGCATGATATACAATTAGCACCCAAGGAAAGGGGAGGGGCTTCAACACGGTACAATATTTGGAATTAATGTTATTTTAACTTGTCTCATTACTCTATCTAAAATGTTCTTACCTTTTGTCGTGAATATTAAATTTTTTTAGCAAATTAAATATGTCTCAAATTGTTAATTTCAAAATCAAGAGGTTACTTATTAGTATTATTTTTCAAATCTACTCTTACTTTTTCAATTATTAGTCTTGATAAGTAAGCTATTTAAACGAGTAATAAAATAGTGATTAGCCAAATGTCTTTCTTTAAAAATGTATGCTAAAATTTTAAAAAAACAAATAATTAGGAATCGTGTTGAATGAATGGTAGATACATTGACAATTGTATAAGTTAAAATATTAGATGGTTAGTTAGAGTTGTTGCTAAGCTGTTAGTATAAAATGTACAACGTCTTTCATTTTGTTAGTTGAGTTAGTTATCACTGTAGCAATGAGAAGCAGTTGATTTCTTCCTCTGTGCTTCGTATTCTTTTCCTACTCATTTCTCCATTGCTAATAGCTTCAAATCTAGATCTCATCATGGTATCAGAGCGAGTGTCATTGATCTACGCTTCACGACTTTGATTCTAGATTCTTCTCACTCAATTCTCAGCTGATTTACTCAACTAAGCTGTCTGATTGTTTCGACTTACAAAAGTTAGGGTTCATTCGATTTGAGTAATCAGCATTTTCTTGTGCAACTTTGCTTGAGCTTAATTCTTCCTTATGAAGGAAGAAAATGGCGATTAACACTGAAGATAGTAGAACGACTCCAGCTGATGCAACTGCAGCTCCGATAATTGACCAGCATCATCCTCTATTTCTTCAACCCAGCGATACTCCAGGTAGCTCTCTAATTTCAGTTAAGCTCACTGGACCTGCAAATTATACTTTGTGGAGTAGTACTATGCATGTAAATTTGCTAGGAAAGAGTAAGCTAGGGTTTGTGGATGGGAGTTCTAAGGAGAAGATTCCTCATATTCTACATGAGTTGTGGGTAAAGTGTAATGTTATTGTACTGTCGTAGATTATGAATTCTGTTAGTGACGAGTTATTGAGTGACACAGTGTATATCTCAAGTGCTCACAAAGTGTGGATGGATCTCAAGGAAATATTTGACAAAGTCAATGGTTCCAGAGTGTTATTCCTACACAAACAGATAGCTACCCTTACTCAAGGGATTTCATCTGTCTCTACATACTTTTCGAAGTTGAAAGAGCTATGGGCAGAATTTGATGCCCTTATGCCTTGTCTTGGGTGTGGCTGTGAAGAATCAAAGAAGTATGTTGAACATGTTGAGTATCAAAGATTTCTTCAATTTCTTATGGGCCTAAATGAAACATACTCTCAGTCTAGCAATCAAATCTTGAACATGTCATCAAGACCATCTATAAACAAAGCATACTCTATGATTATCTCTGAGGAGAGCAGAAGAGTATTGGCTCAACCCTTACAAGTCACAAAGGTTCATGATGTTACAGCCCTGTTCAGCAGCAAGGGAGCTAATTCCTTTGTAGCTCAACTCAATAACAAAAGTAACATTGGTCACAATCACACCTACCTAGGAGATGGAATGACTCACACTGGGGCAACAACATTGTTTAGCAACAAAAACAATGCAGGTTCAGGCTATAATTTTTTTGGTGGAAACAATCATTCAGTCTCTAACTATAGGTCTAGAAAGGATAGTCTACATTGTGACTATTGCAATTTTAAAGGACACACTAGAGAAAACTGCTACAAACTACATGGCTATCCATCTGACTTTAAGTCAAAGAAGAAAGGTGGCTTTGGGACTGCTAACTTTGTTCAAGGTAATACAGGAAATTATCCCTCTGAAACCCTTAGTAGTAGCAATACTGGTCAAGCTGGTTCCACTGTCAACTTTGCAGGAATCTCTCAGATGCAACAGACTAATCAAAGCTTTCAAGCTGGCATCCCTCAATTTACTCAAGAACAATACAATCAAATTTTGCAGCTTCTAGGCAAGCAAACTGAATGTAGTGGATCAGCTATAACAGCATGTATGCCTTCCTGTGCTGATATTACTGAAATTTTGACTAAATGGATTGTAGATTCAGGAGCTTCAAGTCACATGGTAAATAGATATAATTTGTTGACTAATGCCAAGGCAATCTCTAATGACAAGGGGAAAAGTGCATTGCCTACTGGTAGTATAGCTAAGATTAGGCACATAGGTTCTGCTTATCTCCTAAAGGATCTAAATGTGTCTAATGTGATGCATATACCTGACTTCAAGTTCAACCTTCTATCTGTATCCAAGCTAACCAAGGAAATGAAATGGGTAGTTATGTTCTTCCCTGACTTCTTTATTTTTCAGGAGCTCTTCAGTGGACAGGTGAGGGGGATCGACAGAGAAAAAGATGGTCTATATGTGTTCAACTTTACAACAGGAGGTTCAGTTGTATCACAAGTTTCTGCAGAAGTCAAGGATTCAATTCCAAGACCTATACCTATTGTAAATATAATAAGAATTGATGAGTCAATAAGTGTAGCCTTGTGGCATAGGAGGCTAGGGCATGTACCTCTAGAAACTATGAGAAAACTGGAGTATTTTCACACTATTGAATGTAACACTAAGGACACTCATTGCACTGTATGTCTCTTAGCTAAACAAACAAGGTTATCATTTCTTATCAGTACTATTGTGTCTAAGTGTTATTTTGATACTATTCATGGTGATGTTTGGGGTCCTTACAGGGTCTCTACATATGATGGGAAGAGATATTTTCTAACTTTGGTGGATGATCACTCTAGATATACCTGGTTGTTCTTGTTGCCTACTAAAGCAGAAGTCATAGTGGTACTTAAATCTTTTTTTGCTATCGTATAGAATGTTCATTCAGCTTCAGTCAAGTACTTTAGATCAGATAATGGCTGCGAGTTCTTTAACTCACAGATGACTGACCTATTGCAATCCTTAGGGATTGTTCATCAAAGTTCATGTGTGTATACTCCCCAGCATAATGGGGTTGCTGAAAGAAGACACAGGTATATCCTTGAAACAGCTAGAGCTCACAGGTTTCAAGCTGCTGTTCCACTGAGATTTTGGGGTGAGTGTGTGTTTACTGCTGTCTATATCATATATAGGCTTCCTTCTGGTGTACTTCAAGGGAAATCCCCTTTTGAGATCATGTTTGGACATTCTCCCTCTCTGCAGCATATGAGAGTGTTTAGGTGCCTAGGATACATGACTAATGTTAAAAGGATAGAAAAGTTTTCTCCAAAAGCAGTTCCTGCAGTCTTTTTAGGCTACTCTACCACACAGAAGGGCTACAAAATGTATGAAATACACACTAAGCAATTTCACATCAGTAGAGATGTAGTTTGCTAAAAAGATATTTTTCCCTGTCAACACCTTAACTCTACAGGCTCAGATCTCTTTCCTATACTAGACTCCTTTACATTTCTCTCCATTCCACCTCCAGATAGTCCACACACTTCTATTCCTTCTTCAAATACTCCTTTTTCAAATTCTCTCCCAACTACTAAAGCTTCCTCACCTGTACACTCTGATGCAGGGTAAGTTTCTTATCTTGATCTCCTTGATGAGCATGTCACAAACAATGATACTTCTAGTTTGCCCCAAGAAGATTGTCCTGTTTCTACTTTACCTTCTACTAAAACAAGAAAATCAGCCAAAACAAGCAGGCCTCCTATTTGGCTCAAAGCCTATGTCAGTCTTGGCAATGGGAATATCCATTATTGTTATCCTATCTATGACATGATCACTTATGCTAATGTGTCTCCCTTTTTTGCCACTGCTTTGGCAGTCTACTCAGCCATCACTGAACCTAAAACCTACAATGAAGCTATGAAAGACCCCAGGTGAATTATGGCAATAAAATGTGAGATTGCTGCTTTAGAAGACAATCACACATGGTCAGTAGTTGAGCTGCCTTCAAGAAAGACTCCTATTTGTTGTAAATGGGTATTCAAAGTCAAGTACACTTCCTTTGGCACAATGGAAAGATACAAGTGTCGCGCCCCATTTTTTTGCGAAAACGGGTTTCGACATGTGACAACTCTTTTAAATGAGTATTAAAAGAGAAGAGTCGCCACCGATTTTGAAGTGCGTTAGGGGACCTATTTGCAAATAACTCTGTTTGACTAGTCTATGTCACCAAAGATCGGGTAAGGGCTCAAATTACCTCAAAGATAAGGTGTTAGGCACTCTTCGAGGTCTACAACTGTGGGTCCCGACCGAACTTTAAATTATGTGAATTATGCAATTAGGCTGGGTGATCAAATAAATAAAGGAAAATTTAGAAGTCAAAAAGTCTTATTAGAACATATGAGAATCAACATAAATCTTAATGACTACAAAGGATACAACTACATTAATCTATGTTAGATGACTGGGTGTAAAATACGTAAAGAAGGGAGGGTCTTAAGTTTTTTAGCCTAAAGGATCACCCCGTGCAACATAAATAATACTTCGTAAATTCCTTAAGGTAGGGGTTGCTCATATTATTCAGCGGGCATATACTATCATCTTCTGCTACCCAATTACTATGCTGAAGTTGTTTACTTAAAGGCGCTTTGATTCAATTCTAAATCGTACCCTATGCGTGCACTACCCGTCCCATGCCTTTGGTCCAGGAGGCTTTGGACCTCTATTAAGTAGTTCTAGACTCAGCTTAGGTTGCTCAAAATGATAAAAACTAGGCGGCAATCAAAACAGATAGGACTTCACGTAAAGACAATTAAAGGCTCAAATTAGCTTTCACACATAAACAACAAATGTACAAGGCAGTTTAGGCAGTACATATTTTAGGGAATTAAGACGCATTAGAGTTGTCAAATCCTATAGGCATAATTTCTAAGCGATTCTGATCTCCAGCATCACACAAACATCACTGTTGTTTCTGACTAATAAATTCGCACATTAAAGGTGTTAAAGAGCTCCTATAGGCATGATCTATAAATTATTCATGCAATGGGGCAGTAAAACTGTTGAAAGCTCAGAATTAACGACGTTTGATTTTATAAACGTGCTTTATAGACGTCTCATAGGCAGGATTGACAATTGAACTTGATTTTATAATATTTTATCCCTATAGGCATGTCATCTAGGAGGGGCAGTGCAATGAAAGTAACGGAAGTAGTCGATTGATTGATTAAGATCCTATAGTCATGATGTCTAAAGGAGCAGCATGCTAAGAGCAATAGAAGCAGTTGATTGATTAATTAATTAAAACCCTATAGACATGGTATCTAGGTGGATATTAGCAAAGCATGTGTTATTGTATCCTATAGGCATGCTATCTAGAAGCGTCTAGTAGTACATATAGAAACAAATATAGCAATTACTTGAGCCAACATATTTTGACAAGTTAAGTGAAGTGTGTGCGTGATTCCTATATGCATGCTTTCTATTAATGTACAACAAACTAAACTAAATAACATATAAGGCATGTTGAACGAAATAGTAAATAGAACACACAGACCCTATAGACATGTTTTCTACCCTTTTATGAGAGCATTAGAATACCCTATCCCTTTTCACTAATCTCCCCCATCGTTTATTTACAAATTATTACACGACCAAAGACAAAAAAAGAAAAGGAAAGAAACAAACTTAAAAATTACAGAACCAAGATGATTACATGCCCAACAAATAAGGCAGACTTAAGAAGAGTTAACCCTAACACTACCTGGACCTTTAGTAGACTCTTTCATTCGGATAGCAGGCCCGGATCCAAACCCTTCCCAAAAAATATGAGAGTATGCCTATTTGCAAAGCCCAAAGCCACACATGGACTCATATCCAGCCCAATATTGACCAATTTACCAAATAAATTAATAGACCATACATGGAAACCAATATCAAACATGCAAGAAAGCAATTGATGAGAAGCCTAATCATGCTGAGCATAACACAAAGATCTCAAAGTCCAAAGGTGTCATGACATGAAGACATATTATCTTAAAGTTAAATAGAACATGCAAACTCAGAACTTAAGCCAGTCGACTATGCATGATCATGGAACCTAAATGTATTGGGATTCAATTAGAAGCATAAGCAATACCAAAGAATGCAGGATTGACCAAGCATTAGAACAAATCAACAGGTTTGGTTAAAGCATTGCGACAACAAATATGGTTCATGTAAGTAGGTAAAAACAGAGTTCACACTAGGAGATTCAGAATTGCAGAATAGCTACAATGCAAGTAAAATTGCCAATGATTATAACACAATATTGGAGTCATATTGGTTCGAACAACATGGATATGCGAAGCACTGGAAACAAGCAAAAGAGGATATAATTGCAAAAGTCAAGACATTCACCACTTTGCATATTCAACAAACAAAATAGAATAGAAGTCTAAGTGTCAGAAACAGCTCGAATATCACCAAAAAGAGAACAACTAAAAGACCCAAATCCTAGTGCGTCAGAGTTCACAGGAGCGTCAAATTAGCCTCGAGCAGTGCTCGCACTAGGGAGGTCATTAGAGAGGAATCTGATGGCATTGGCTTTCAGCCGGCCAAGAGCAATAGATTCAGAATAATATCGAGTGAGTGAGAATATGAGAGAATAACAGTGATCAAGGTCCGTTAAAGGGGGTTAGGGGAGAGGTTTATATAGTAGTAAAATTTAACGAACAAATAAGGAAACATAATTAATCAAACACAAAAATAAGGAAAGAAAAGCATGTAAAATCAATTCAGAATACATTTAGGAGAAAAATCAGGTAAACCCTAGTTCAAGAAGGAGAATACAAATAGTCAGAGATCTCACTAAATCGGACCCATACAGCCTGGTAATGAGTGTATACAGACGAAATATCATCTAGATTTAAACAAAATGGAGCTTGATTCCTTCGATTCGGAGCCTAACACTTGCCAAAAATAGGCGAGTACTATGAGATACCAAAATCGTGTAAGAAACAATAAGACAGAGCATAAATGGAAAGGGAATCATGGAGCGATTCAATGTTGAGGTCGGAGTTGGACATAATAAGGGAGGCGGCTGCTAGGGATTGAGATGAGAGGAGAAGAGAGGATTTATGAGCGACAGTCTTAGAGAAATGGTAGGGTTTCGGGTGGGTTTGGTTAGTTTAAAGCAGAGGGATGATTGTGGGCTATTGATCTTGAGAGATCGACAACTAGGATTAGAAGAAAACAGAGCGGGTCGTTGTAACGGGTCCCAACCGAGTTTGGGAGAGGGGTCATTTGGTTTGGGCCAAATGAGGTTGGGCTAAGGATTGGGGATCTCTAGGCCAGTGATTTGGGTTTGTTTGGTCCAAAATTAGCCCAAAATTTGGGCAACAAATTAAATACACGAAAAATTATAAACAAATATTTATAAAAAGTAATTAACAAACAATAAAAATATTGTTTATGTAGTAAGATGCTTGAAAATAATAATTTAACATTGTAAAAATATGAAATTCTATTTGGGTACAAATAATGTAATAAAAATATAATTATGCACATCATATAGGCTATTATTGTAAAATTATGTAAATAGCTTTAAAATATAAATATACTTATATAAAATAAAGTAAAATATTTTGAAACATATATGATGATGAAAATAATAACTTTGGATAATTAAGGTAATCACAAAAGAATTTAAGGGTAATTAATAATTATTCAAATAATTTAAATGCAAGAAAATCAATTTTAAAGCTTTTTTAAAAAACCTTTTTAATAAAAACTATAGAAAATACTTGTATAACTCTTGTAAATTAAGTAACGATGCAAAATGATATTTTGAAACTATATATACTATTTGAAAAAAAATATGAGGGCATAATTGGGTATCAACAGTTGCCCCTCTTTACCTGGGAATGATGAAAGAGTTGTCGGGTAAAGAAAATAAATTTTTGTCCGAAGTGAGTGAGGAACGATGTATTTTTAAAAAATGGGAGCCGAACCCTGGTTCTTGAGTTGCCTACATATTCCTGGTACTTTTGGAATCAGGTCGTGTGTAGTTCTGGATCCAACAGCGAACGAAACCGATGGAGTTGTTATAAGAGTGGTCATATGCTTCGAAAAATAGATCTTTTGGATAGGGTAGTGTCGTAGGTAACGACTAATTTAGGTGGAGCCGTGAATGCAAATTTGAACGTTACAGATGTATAAGGAAAATATTTGAACGGTTATGGAACAAAGGGTAATCAATTGCTGACCATCAGTTACATTTGAGGTGATCGAAGGATGTGAACATTGTGAACGGAAACCAGAGCGAGAATTGCTCCTGTTTGTAGAACGATTACCTTCCGAGTTACCTGCAAAACTTAAAACATGGTGCATACGAATATATATGGGTTATTGCGAAAATTTAAACATGATGCAAATTCCCTTTGAACCATGAAGGTTGCCTTCGGATGATGAGGATGATGTCCTTAGACCATGATGTCCTGGGCCATGAAGTGTATGATAAGGGATTTGCCGGCCATAGAATAGTATCCTCGGGCCATGAAAATGGTGCCTCTAGACTATGATGCCTTTGAATAATGATATGCAATTTCGAGAGATCCTCCGGCCATGGCATGATGTCTTCGGGCTATGAGGATGATGCCCTCAGACTATGACGCTTTCGGACAATATGGTGATGTTTCAGCCCATGAGATGCAAAGATACGGTGATATCGATCGTTTGATAGAGGAAACAAGTAATGCTTAGTCATATGCGAGAATAGGGCTGCTTATCGGGCGGATTGGGCGGTTAATTACTCTTAACGGTTTGGCTTAACAGTTATCGGCTTTTTAATGTATTAATCCGCTAGCCACCCGATAAGATATCGGGCGGATTGGTATCGGTTTAGTTCTTATCGGGCGGTTATCGGGCAGTTTATCGGCCTAATTCAATCTATATTACGT